GCTGCTGGCCGCGGCTGCCCCCACCCCCACCCCAGCCAAGCGGCAGAAAGAAGCGGTTGCTCAGGAGCGAGGAGGGCAGCTGCGCGGCGCCCTGGCAAGCCCGGGTCTCTCTTTCCCCTGGACCTGGGAGCCCGCTGCTCTCCCAATTCTATGGGCTTCTCTCCCAAGTTCCCTTTGGCATCCAGGACCGGCCTCCCTCAGCCCCACAATCCAGGCGTCTAACTCCCGGCTCTCGGCTCTCTTGGCCAGAGCGCTCGCTTTCCGGATTCCTGGGTGGGCACCGCGCGGAAGGGGGAGGAGGTGGAGGGAGCTTGGGCACCGCCCCCCGGGAGCCGAGCTCCAGAGCGCCGGAGACTGCGATTCCGAAAAGTAACACGCGGGGGCGCCAGGACGCGCGGACGCAGGCGAGGCAGCGCAAGGTGGTTTCCGTCCGTGTGAGTGTGTCCATGGGCGTCTTTGTGTGTCTGCGTTTCTGTACATGTGTGTACGAGTCACAGGGTGTCCGGGTGGGATGTATTCGGGACAACGTGCCTGGTGTACCCCAGAATCAGGTACTCCAAGTGGCTTTTTGATGAGGAGGATGCTTGATATGTTACTATGTATGTGTGGATGGGGAGGTAGGCAACTGTGTATCGTCGTGTGTGCAAGGCGTAGCCTCTGAGTCCCTGAAACCGCATCTTGGATTTTTGAAGTCACATTCCTTCAGGATCCCTCCCACCATTCCATGTAAAAGGAACGAGGGCTCTCAACGCAAATCTCCATTACCCTGGTCCCATCTTCAGCATGTGTCTGAGTGACACTGCCAGGCTAGGTGTGATACTGTGTTTGTGTAAGTGGGTGTGTCTCAGAATATCAGTGTAACTCTGAATAACAACAGTATGTTTGTGTGTGACAGGTGGATGTTGGAGGAGGCTGGGTCAGAATTATGAAAATACACAATTCGCTTTCTCTGGTTAGTTTGTGGATATCACCTTCGTGGCGTGTGTGTTTTCCCTTCTCAGTCTCTCCAGAAGCTGTCTCTCTTTGTGTCTCCCCTCATCTCTGTCTCTTTCTCTCTCATTCTCTTGGTGACTCATCTCTGCGGCTTTGCCCTCCCCCGGCTTGCTGGGTCTCCCATCCCCCACTCAGGAGTGGGTGGGGGTATGAGAGAATGGGACCCTGGAACTGAAAATCAGGGTGAGCACCCCTTTCCTATTACTCATCATTCCCAGACCCACCAGTGGCCCCCAGCCCCCTCTCAGTCCCCTCCCCAGGACTCCCCACTCTACTGAACAGGGCTGGTAAGGGGATAGGGCAATGATGCTTTTTAATGGGGCCATTTTCAGGGGGACCTTCAGCACCTTCTTTCAGTTCAGAGTGGAGACCCCTGCCCCTCTCATAAAGTGCCCCCCTCCCTGCCTGTCCCCCCATCGCTGATGCAATGAAAGGCTGCAGAGGTGAGTCACCGGTTGGGGGGAAGGGAGAGTTGGGGGGACGGTGAGCTGCGGGGTCCCCAAGCCCCTGCCCTCTTTTTCTCTTCCAAACCTTCTCAGGGAAAAGACACAGTACTCTGTCCACCCCCCTCCCCTGGCTTTCCAAATCTTCAGTTTGGTTCACTACTCCATTGGACCCCATCTTCTCCTGCTGCCCTCTTGGAGAGTATGAGAGATTCAGAAACAAAGACAAAGAGAAGGATTTATACAAATAACTCAGCAAACACCAGGCATCCCCTCCAGGTCCCCATCTCAGCACTGCCTTTTCTAGCTGTCTCTCCATTCTCTATCTTTCCTGCCATCTCCTTCCTCTACCGATTCCAGGCAACTGTCCCCAGTCCAGCTCTTTTCCAGAAGCCCCTAGAGGCAGCAGGGTATGAAGGGCACAGCACATCTCTGAGAGGTGGGATGTGTGTGAATGAGCAGACCCACGTAGGGAACTGAGATGAAGACAGGCAGAAACAGACCCAGAGATTCAGAGTCCATGTAGACATGATCTGGATTGTGTTATCACCAAGCCTATTGCTGTGGATGCCCTGGCTTGGTGCCCACCTCCCTACCTTGCTGCCCCCCTCCCTCCCTTACCCCATGCTGACTGAGATTCTTGGGATGTCAGGGTCTGAGAAGCTCCCCTGGGCTTCTGGGCTGAGTGGAGGAAGGAAAGGGTGAAGAGTTGGGGAAGAATGGAAGAATAGAGGAACACTCTGAAAACAAGGGGGCAAGGACCTGAACTTGCGGGCAGCAGATGAGTGGGTTTACTGTACAGAAATCTAGAGATAGTGAATGTGGGGGAGGGGCAGGCAAGATCAAAGACACAGAGACATCTACATAACTTGTAACATAAATCAAAAAGCAGGGAAGGATTCAGAGAAATGCACAAAGAGGCATGTGTACACACACACACACACTATTGACACACCAAGCCAGGCTCACTTTTCAGACACCAGCAGGTGCCCAGACTGGATGCACTCAAAGTCTCCCAACTACACAGGTATACAGACACTCAGAAGGATCGGAACCCACACGCACTCAATACTTATACAATGACATCTGGAAACAGGCGAAAAAAACATGGCCACACAGATTGCAAGAGAAGATTTCATATTTAAAGTGGAACACTATCATGCCCATCCACTCTATCTGATTAAATACACAATTGGTCTTCCAATTCCCTTTCTCCCCCCTCCCATATGTTTCATTAAACTCTGCACACACACAAACACACATGCACACATATGTACATGCACACATAGGTGTGTGTGCACATATACAAGCCCACAGGAACACAAACCGTTTCTCTAGGTGCCTGTCTCCCCTCATCTTACACTTAGTTGTTAGCCCCATCAGCCTCTCAGTCTGCCCCCCTTGGCTCCTTCCCTCCCCTCTTCCTTCTCTCTTGGATGGCTTCCCCTCCCCCCTCCAGATGTCTGAGCCATCTCTCTGATTCATCCTCCTCGGGAAGGTAACGTGACCCCCTCCCCATTCCACTGCTCACAGTAACCAGGCTGGGAAGATAAAGGGGAGAAGAAGAGGAGGAGAAAGAGGAATGAGGGGGAGCCCCCAGGTTAGGCAGTGGTCCTAGATAGTACTGTGTGTAAGGGGTGGGGGGCGAGGCACAGCCTTGGGGTCTGCTGCCCCCTCCTCTCTCTGCTTTCTTTGGTATTTCCACAGTCACCTTGGTTCTCAGTGCTGTGTTGGTGGGTTTTTTTTTTTTTTCTCCTTTAGCCTGTTCCTTCTACCTGTTCCAGATTCCTTCTTTCCTCCCTCCCTCTCCTGCTCCCATCTCTTCTCTCTTTCCTCTCTCTACTCCTCCCCACCTCTTTCCCTGCAGAGCTGATGGGCTTTCTTCTGGGAAAGTCGAGCCACTGATGGAACCGAGAAGCCACTGCTGGCTATAGAAGAAAGCACGTGAGTGAGTGTGTGTGTGTGTGTGTGTGTGTGTGTGTGTGTGTGTGTGACAGAGAGAGAGAGAGAGAGAGAGAGAGAGAGAGAAGGAGGGTCAGTGTTAGGAAGAGATGAGGAGGGGGTTGAGGACTGTCTCTGAAAGAGTCTCTGAGCCCCTGACAGACAGCCCTGATCTCGGTTTCCAGAGTCTTAGGGTGCGGGTGCCCTGCGTGTGCCCACAGGCACCCCTTGTGTCCGCAGTTCTTGTGTGTCTGGCATGTGTCATTGTCACTCCCCCCTTTCCCTGCCCACGCCCCCGCACAGCTCTTTGCCTGCACCGCAGCCCCCTCCAACCTCCCTCCTCCCCTTCATTCCTGCAGTGACTGCTCCCCTTGCCTTCCTCCCTTCTCCCCTGCCCCCTCCCCATTTCCGTCCTCCCCCCACCCCCGCCCACGGGCTGGTCTCCCTTCACTGGACCCGGCTCGCTGATGGATTCTCTTTGCGCAATCTGTGCGTCATCGCCCCCCCCAACCTCTAACTGTCCAAGCCCCCAACCCCAACGCCTCTGGCAGGAGATACGGACGAGGGGTCTGGTGGTAGAGAGGGGCTATGTCTGACGTTGCACACCCACCCCCACCCCTCTGCAACGCGTTCAAACCTTCCCTTTAAGCAGTGGAGAGAGCTGGAGTTGAGTCACCCCCCCAACCTGCGCAACCCCCTCCCCACCTGGTCTGCTCTCGCCCTCCAAACGTCCTTTGGGGGGAAGCAGAGGGAGGGAAAGAAGCAGGAGGAGGGTGGGGGGGAGAGGTGGGCTGACAAGGGGCAAGCCGGGCCGCCAACATACGCTACAGAGTGAGCTGGACAGAAGGACAGACACACCTTTTTCTCCAAACATGCACCGACTGTGAACAGACACGACATAGAGGCACACACATCCTCAGTCTTTCCCCTTTCTTCCGACTCGGACCCTTTCCAATGGGATTACCAAAACCGCAAGATCCACCCATCTGCCCCGGCCCAGGGCCGGCACCCCGCACCGCAGATCCACGAACAGCGCCCGCAGGCGCGCAGATCCGTCCCTCCTCTCTCGGGTTCACGCCGTCCTTGGGTGTGTTCCCCGTGGACCGTGCGCGCGGTCGGGAGATGGGGGAGTCCAGCCCCTTCCTCGGCTTTGGAATCCTTATCCTCCCCCTCCCCAGTATGGATCTCCTACTGATGCCCAGTCAGACTCTGGGAGTGCCCCCATCCTATTCGGCTCAGCGACGCGGGCTCCCGCAGCTGCAAGTTGCTCTGTAACCCACCCTCCCGCCTTGCAGCGTCTCTGCATCCACCCTTCCATTCATTCTCCCATTCATTCATTCATCCTTTTCTCCTCGTCCCTCCTTCATTCATTCATAGCCCCCTGCCCCGCCCGCCCCGGCGATTTCATTCATTCATTCATTCATTCATTTCCCCGGTGCTCGGCTAGCGCACGCCCCTCCAGCCGAGGCTCCCGGCGCGCAGGCGCGGGCCGGGAGAAGAACACCTTCTCCAATCACTGGGCTGCCCCCCACCTCGAGGCGCCCGCCCGCTTCCCCATGAATGAACATTGACGTCAATGGGGCGGGGCGAACCCACGTGACCCCGCGCTCTCCCCTTTATAAGGCGGCAGCGGCGCGGGCGCTGTCCAGCGTGCTGAAGCCGGAGCGAGCGAGTCGCCCAGAGCCGCGCGGACCCAGCTGAGCCCAACCCACTGGACGCCAGAACTCGACCGTCGCTCCTATCCCAGCCACAGCTCGGAGCCGAGGCGGACGCGTCCCGATCTTCCCCTGTCCCCACCCCGCCCAGACCCTCCTCTCCACCTCCCGCATCGTGACACCAGCTGGTAAATACTCCGCTGTCCATCCCTCAAACCCTCGGCAGCCGTGGGCGTGAGGGAGGGTTCTCTCTCCTCCCGGATGGGGCTATTAAAAACACAGCGGGGAGCCCCCGGTAAGGGTCCCTGGTAAATGGGGGAGTCGCCGCTTTTCTCTTGCTGCTAAAGTCGCCCACGCACCATCCGGGGAGTCCTGTGGGGAGGGAGCAGAGATTTTTTTCCCCTTATCTTAGCTGCTTAGTACGTGGGCGCTGGCAGTGAGATGGCTTAGGCAAGGGGGCGAGGAGGCACTGGGGGGAGCGAGGGTTGCGGGCGTTTTCCCATTTACACGACTCCAGAGAACGGCACAACATCTTTCTCCTTTGCTCCTAAACGTCCCTCTTCTGGGTAAGGTTATTAGGGGGATGAGGGAAGCCCTGGATTTCCTGATTAAAGGTGGGGGAAGGGGATATAGAATCAGAGAGCGGAAAATTCTTACAGAAACCCTCTTTCTTTGGTCCCTTCTATTTTTCACAGTCTCCGGCAGTCCTTTGGTCATGAAATCGCTCACGTTGCCGGCTTCCACCCTCTTCTGCTTCCTTCTACTGATCAAGGGGTTGGGAGCAGCGCCCCCGGGGCACCCTGAGGCGCAGCCACCTCCCCTCAGCTCTGAACATAAAGAGCCGGTAGCTGGGGACGCAGTGCCCGGGCCGAAGGATGTTAGCGCCCCAGAGGTCCGAGCCGCTCGAAATTCCGAGCCTCAGGAGGAGGGAGAGCTTTTCCAGGGCGTGGATCCCCGGGCGCTGGCCGCGGTGCTGCTGCAGGCTCTTGACCGCCCCGGCTCGCCTCCGGCGCCCGGCGGCTCCCAGCAGGGGCCAAAGGAAGAAGCAGCAGAAGCTCTGCTGACCGAGACCGTGCGCAGCCAGACCCACAGCCTCCCGGCGCCAGAGACCCAGGCACCTGCGGCCCCGCCTCGCCCTCAGACTCAGGAGAATGGTCCCGAGGCTGGCGACCCCTCCGAAGAGCTCGAGGCGCTAGCTTCACTGCTCCAGGAACTGCGAGATTTCAGTCCGAGCAACGCCAAGCGCCAGCAAGAGACAGCGGCAGCAGAGACGGAAACTCGCACGCACACGCTGACCCGAGTCAACCTGGAGAGCCCCGGGCCGGAGCGCGTGTGGCGCGCTTCCTGGGGAGAGTTCCAGGCGCGCGTCCCGGAGCGCGCGCCTCTGCCACCCCCTGCTCCCCCGCAATTCCAGGCGCGTATGCCCGAGAGTGGGCCCCTTCCTGAAGCCCACCAGTTCGGGGAAGGAGTGTCCTCCCCCAAAACACATCTAGGTGAGGCATTGGCACCCCTATCCAAAGCGTACCAAAGCCTGGGTGCCCCTTTCCCCAAGGCGCGCCGTCCGGAGAGCTCACTCCTGGGCGGCTCTGAGGCGGGGGAGCGCCTTCTACAGCAAGGTCTGGCGCAGGTAGAGGCCGGGCGGCGCCAGGCAGAGGCCACACGGCAGGCCGCGGCGCAGGAAGAGCGGCTGGCAGACCTCGCCTCCGACCTGCTGCTCCAGTATTTGCTGCAGGGCGGGGCCCGGCAGCGCGGCCTTGGGGGTCGGGGGGTGCAGGAGAAGGAGGAGGAGCGAGAGAGCGAGAGGGAGGATGCGGAGGCGGAGCAGGAGAGACGCGGCGGGGCGGAGAGGGTGGGGGAAGAGGATGAGGAGGCGGCGGAGGCGGAGGCAGAGGCGGAGGAGGCGGAGAGGGCGCGGCAGAACGCGCTGCTGTTCGCAGAGGAGGAGGACGGGGAAGCCGGAGCCGAGGACAAGCGCTCCCAGGAAGAGATGCCCGGCCACCGTCGGAAGGAGGCTGAGGGGGCAGAGGAGGGCGGGGAGGAGGAAGACGACGACGAAGAGATGGACCCTCAAACGATCGACAGCCTCATTGAGCTGTCCACCAAACTCCACCTGCCAGCGGACGACGTGGTCAGCATCATCGAGGAGGTGGAGGAGAAGCGGAAGCGGAAGAAGAACGCCCCTCCGGAGCCGGTGCCGCACCCCCGGGCCGCCCCCGCCCCCACCCACGTCCGTTCCCCGCAGCCCCCGCCCCCTGCCCCCGCCCCCGCCCGAGACGAGCTGCCCGACTGGAACGAGGTGCTCCCGCCCTGGGATCGCGAGGAGGACGAGTTGTTTCCCCCCGGGCCCTACCACCCGTTTCCCAACTACATCCGGCCGCGGACACTGCAGCCGCCCGCTGCCTCGCGCCGCCGCCACTACCACCACGCCCTGCCACCTTCGCACCACTATCCTGGCCGGGAGGCCCAGGCGCTGCGCGCGCAGGAGGAGGCAGAGGCGGAGGAGCGCCGGATGCAGGAGCAGGAGGAGCTGGAGAATTACATCGAGCACGTGCTGCTCCGGCGCCCGTGACCTGCTCTGGTCTCGCCCCCGTGCGCCGCCGGTGCGCGCTCGGCCACCCCCCTCCGTGTTGCTCCTCTCCCTTCTCGGTGTTTGCATGCACCCCAGTCCCGCCCCTGGACGCCTCCAGGCCCCGCCCCCGCCCTCGGGTCGCCCCGCCCCCGGGCTGCGCCGGGACCTGTCAGACCGCTTCCCGGATTCGAAGCCCGAACTCCCCAAACTCACTCAAGGAGGCCCCCCGGGGCCACCCCAGGCGGGCGGGCGGTTTGTGCGAATCCCCTCCCCCCACGGGCCTCTGTCCCCACCTAGTCCCTCTCGGGACGTCCCCGTCCAAAACCGGAAAAAGCTGTTCCAGTTAATTGTGTGAAGAAGTGTCTGTCTCCTGCCCTTTGGGCCTCCCAGGAGCCTCTCCACCCTCTCCAGATCGCTGTGAATTTACCTATTCTTTCCCTTCTCTGTTGTAAATACCCCTCACGGAGGAAATAGTTTTGCTAAGAAATAAAAGTGACTATTTTATTAGGACTTTGTTCTCCGTTATTCACCCGTCCCCTTGGGCCTGCGTGGTCCTTCCCAAGGGGCGGTGAGGGAAGCGCCAAGCCACAACACCCATCTCCTCCTGTTCAAAAGCCAGGGTGGTGGAACCACTTTCAGCCGTATTTCAGAGTAGAATATGGCCCGTATCTATGAAGAAAGCCTAAATTCCACCTGCAGCCTAGGGGTGGGGGTGGGGGTGGGGGGGGGGGGGGTGGTGGTGGTTAAAGTCATTGGTCCCCAGGGTGGGGCAGCTCCAGTCCACTTAGAAGGCTCTTCTATCCATGATCCTCCAGCCACTTAGGTGGCTCCTCACAGCCCCTGTTCCAACCTCACCCACCCGCCTCCCTTACCTGCCCCCTAAATTCCCTGGTCCTGTGTACTTCACAACAAACAGGGAGGAGGGGCCTCCAGCTACAGAAACACCCTGCTTTTAGCCACTCCTCAACCCTGTGGTAAGCATACAGGGTTGGCTATACCCCTGAACCCCTGATTCCTCTCTCCAAATAAAACTAAACCAGCTGAATGAAATCTTCCACAAAGAATCCTCCCAGGAGTGAAACCATGTCCCCAGGAGTTGCTCCTCCCTGGCCGAAGGCAGCTCGGGGAGCTGGAGGCACCATGTGCAGAGAGGCACTGAGCTCACAAATCCATCTGGAATAGGGGTGCCAGATAAAGTACAGGACACTCAGTTAAATTTTCACTATAGATAAACAACCAGTGTATTTGCATAGGACACGCTTATCCTAAAAATATTCATTATCATTCAAATGGCACCGGATGTCCTCTATTGTTTGTTTGTTTGTTTTTTCCCTTTAACTCTGGCAATCCTAGTCCCCTCCTGACTGATCCCAGGAGCCTTTCCTTCCTTCACAGAGCCTAAGCAGGCAAAGTCCAGAAATGCTTTTCCTTTTATTTCAGAGGAAAGGAAATAAAGTCAGACACTTCCCACACCCCACCCCTTAGCTCCTGCCTCACCCAGAACATGGAGTGAAGGAGGGACAGTCTCCCATAAGCCTGCCCTTCCCCCATCCCTCACTTCCCTCGAAGTGGCAAGGTTAGAAAAAAATTAACTATGTTGTTCCTCCCCTGGCACTGGACAGAGTCCCCACTGCAGCCAAGGAGGAGGAGGGTAGATGAGGGGAAAGGCCTTCCCTCTCAATACTCAGAAATTCCCCCCACCCCTACCCCAGGCAGAGAAGCTGCCCTGGCTGGCTACTGGGGCAGGGTGGAGGTAGGTTATGGGGCAAGGGAGAAGAGAAGAGCCCTGAAAACCTTTTCCCTTTAACCTGACGTATTTATATATTTACAGTTATAAGGAAGGGGAGCAAGTCTGGGATAACATTAGTTCTTCAAAGGCAGGGAATGAAAGCCAAATAGCACCCCCATTTTGGTCACATTTTCCTACCCCCTAGCTCCTAAAACCTTCATTGGGGAAAGGGGAAACAGGAGATAGAGGTAAGGGAAGGAATGTTTGAGGGTCCTGAGCCCACAGCTCACTCCAGGAGAAGGTGAGGCAGCAGAGGAGGGGCAGCTGGGTTCCACCAAGAAAAGGGGTACTCATGCCCTGCCTCTCCACCAGCTCCCCATATCTCCACGGTGCCCAGGTGGGGTGGGGGCTATGCCAGACCCATCTCCTCCAGCACACTGCGAGGCGACTCATCCTCCTGAGCCAGAGACACCAGGAGAGGCAGACAGGGAATGGGGGGGGGGCAAGACAAGGACAATCACGAGTGGGCGGAACACAGAGAGACACGGGGAGGGGGGAGAGAAAAGCCAATGTGAGCTCAAAGCTGGAAAAGTCTCCAGTCCCCAGTCTCCAGGGACCACCCCCCAGAGCCAATGGTGGCAAGGAGGGGGTCCAGGTTGAGTCCGCCACCACCCAGAGAACCCAAAACCAGAGCTTGGGGAGCAGGGGGCTCAGTCTCTGAGGGGGAAGGGAGTGAAGCTGGGACTGGGGGGTGGGAAACGCTTGCTGGAGGCTGGGGGTGCCAGATGGTTGGGTCCTTTGATTCAAAGTGGGGGCAGGGAGTAATAAGTTGGCATCAGGTCCCTGAGGGAAGGTGAACCAGACTGCAGAGAAATGAGTCATTAGGGTCTGAGCAGAGCACTAGTAACGGGGGTGGGTGTGTGTGCCAGGGCATGTGTGTGTGAGTGTGTGAGTGTGTGTGTGTGTGTGAAGGGGAAGTTGGACCAGTGAGGTGGCAAGTTCAATTCTGCCCTTACTCCTACTGCAGCGATGAGCCCCCATCTTTCCCCCTCCTCAGAGCCAGCTCAGGCCAGCTTGCTTGTCATTGCAGATTCTGGTGACTCATCTTCCTGCACCAAGTCTCAGCAGTGGCACAGCAGAGAGGGGGCAGGCAGTAATGGGGTGAGGGCGGGGGCGTCAGATAGCAGGAGAACCAACAGCCAGGCACCCTCTAACCCAACCCCCAAATCCCCACAGCCCTTTGCTTCTGAGGAGCAGAGACTTTTGAGTGTGTCTGTGTGTGTTAAAAAAAAAAAAAAAAAGGGTGGGGGGACACATCAGGGAAAAAAGAATTATCTATCGTGTGCCCCTCTCCAATTCCCTGAACAACCCTAAATGCCAAGAGAAGTATGGGACCAAGGAGATCTGGCTTGGTCTTGGGAGAAGGAGGGAGAATGGGCACAGGCAGGCTGCCTGCCACCCCGACCTCCCACCCTGAGCAGTCAGTCAGTGCTTGAGGGCAAGCTGGCCAACCGGGCACCGTGAGGGCCAGACGCCACAGGGAGGGGGGCCCCCTTGGTGGCCGGAAGGGCACAGCTGTGGCTGGCAGGCAAAGTGTCCAGGGAAGGAAGGGCCCCCTCTGCCATGGTACTCTTCCTCCTCCTCACTGCCCCGGGCCCATACCTCCTGCAGCAGGTCGGCCTGCTCGATGGCCTTCAGCACACTCTTCTTGGAGGTGTCCTGGACATCACCGCCCATCAGAAACTCATCCAAGATGAAGTAGGCCTTCTCAAAGTTGAAGATGATGTCCAGCTCACACACCTGGGAGAATGGGGAGAAGGCAGAGTTGAATGTCAAGGGGCATTTCCACCAGACCTGCACCCCAGCCGCCCACCTCTTTTCTTCTCATGGCTCCATGGTCTTCTTTCCGACCACTGCTCCCACCTCAGGCTCCTGCCCCAGGCCTATGAGCCCCTGAACCCCGAGGCTTAGTACTCAGTTTGACTTTTCCTTCTCCTTCTCTTGCCTCTTTCTCTGTGAACATGAAATATGAGTTGCCCTAATCTACCCTTGACTGTGGTTCCTGCTGCCTTCCCCCCAAAATCTGTGCACTGTTCCCACCAGCGGCCAGGCTAGCCTCCCTCCCTGGGCGCTACTGGGCAGGGAAGGAGGAGATTCTGGATCACAGGTGGAAAGACTTGATTGCCAAGCATGGCTCTGCCACCGTGCAGCTAGATGGAGAGGACATTTCATTTCTGAGTCTGGTTTCTCTTCTGAAAATTGAGATAACAACACCTACTCACAGGATAAAATGAGGAGCAGGCACAAAAGCCTGAAAGCACTTTGTAAACTGTTAAGTGGAATATCAATGATGGAATTATTACTTTTCCCCGTCTAAGATCTGAGCTGACTGTCCATGCCTGGGCTATACCCCTGATCAGTTAATCCAGACTTGCTGGGCATGGGACCCAGGCATCACTAATTAAAAAAAAAAAAAAATCAACTCTCCAGAAAATTCCAATGCAAAGTCAAGGTCAGAAGCCACTGAGAAAATCTGAATGTAGTCTCCAACCTTCTGTGGGACGTCCAAACTGAGCTCTAGATGGACTGATGGAGTGGCCGATTCCGGTGTGTACCCCCTCCCCAGGGCTGATTAAGGGATATGGTTAATAGGCTTAAGGCTTAAAGAGGGGAATTAATTACTGTTCTCACTGCTCCAACTTCGCCTCTCCCAAATCTTCCTGGCAGCGACGGGAAGGGTCCCAGGGTTTGGTAGAAAGAGGGGACTGCTGAGTACGGACAGGGTGGGCGGGGAGACTTACGCTGCCGAAGTACTTGTCCAGGAGTTCCACATACCGGTGGATCAGCTCCAGCGTGATGAGCTCATTGTCTTGGCCCTCGATGGCGCAGCAGAAGTAGAGGCTGGCGTATCTGAGGGCAGGGGCACACGTGGGGTTGCTGGAGGGGCTGCTGGGCCTGCTTCAGGACCCAGGTGTTGTGCACCCAAACCTCCCATTTCTCCTCATTCCCAGTGCAGGGCCTGTGTCCCTACTGGACACAGGCAGGGTAGCCCCGGGGTATGCAAATAGTAACAACTCGCTCTGCCTCTTGGCAGTTCTCACAAGACAGAGGCAAACACGCAAGCTCTTTCCCTCTTGCCCTCTGACCTGTTCAGTTTGACTCAGCAAAAACCAGAGCCAACTAATCCATCTGCTCAGAGAAGGAACTGGCCGGGGTGTGTGTGTGTGTGTGTGTGTGTGTGGCCGGGGTGTGTGTGTGTGTGGCCGGGGTGTGTGTGTGTGTGTGTGTGTGTGTGTGGCCGGGGTGTGTGTGTGTGTGTGTGTGTGGCGGGGGTGTGTGTGTGTGTGTGTGTGTGTTTGGGAGAGGTGGTGTGTGTGTGTGTGTGCTTGTTTGGGGAGAAGTGGTGCCGGATCTATAACTGTTGAATGAGGCTGCAAGGGACATGTGTGATGGACAGGATAAGGCCTTGGTGACAGAGGTAGGTGCGTCAAGTAGGTGTCAGGCATGAGCGAAACAAGTGGGGAACCAGAATTTCTTCCAAGTAATTTTGGAAAGTAAAGGAAGCTGGAGTTCATCACTGCCCTCCAGATGTCCTTAGCTCCCAGTTCTCCCTGACCTTATTGTTCAGCCATTTGAACCCACTGCCAGACCCCCATCCAGCAGGATCCAGACAGCGTGAAAGTAGGTGGCAAGTCACCTCTTATAGACGACTTTGAGATCCCTCCACTCCAGGAAGCTGCACATCTTGGGCTTGCGAGCCAGAACAACCTGCATAAGCTCC